GCCGTACAGCAGGTTTTGCCTAATGTTGCTATAAACATTCGTGTGCAGTGTTTTTGTTTGTAGACATATTTTCTCTTCTCATGTATATACCTGGGAATGGAATTTCTTGATCAAACAGTAACTCCATGTTTAACTTTTTGAGAAAACGCCAGACTGTGTTTAAAAGTACCTGCACCATTTTACATTTCCATCAGCGGTATATGAGGGTTCTGATTTGTGCAGGTCCTTGCCAAAACTGTTTATCTGTCCTTTTAATTATAGCCATTCTAGTGCATATGAAGTGGTTTTGATTTGCATTTCCCTGATGATAATAGTCATATTTACCATTAGTTAATATTTGCAATGGTCTTGATAATGGCCATTTATATATGTTCTTTGGAGAAATGTCTGTTCACATCTTTTGCCTACTTTTATAATTTGAGTTATCTTTTTATTATTGTAAGAGTTTTTTATATTTTCTAGATATAAGTCCTGTATCAGATATATGATCTGCAAAAATTTCATGCCATTCTGTGTGTTGTCTTTACACTTCCTTGATAGTGTTCTTTGAAGCACACGTTTTAAATTTTGATGAAATCTGATTTATCTATTTGTTGTTGTTGTTGCTTGTGCTTTTGGGGTCATATCTAAGAAACCCCATTGCCAAATCCAAGGTCATAATGATTTACCCCTATGTTTTCTTCTAAGATTTTTATAGTTTAAGGTCTTACCTTTAGGTCTTTGGTCCATTTTGAGTTAATTTTTATATATTGCATGAGGTAGGGCTACAACTTCATTCTTTTGTTTGTTGATATCCAGTTATCCCAGTGCCATTGGTTGAGAACATTATTCTTTCCCCATTGAATGGTCTTGGCACCCTTTTCAAAAGTCACTTGCCCCTAAATGCTGTCAGAGCCTGTACTGGAGCACCGCACTGTATGAAGCAGTACACAGTATGGTCAGAGCCTGGTGCTGCAGGGGCTCCAGAGGGAAGAGGGAGCGCTAAGGGATCAGGGAAGCTTCACCATAGGTGACATTTCAAACAAATGAGCAGAACCAAGCAGAGACACAAAAGTGTGCAAGAGCAGAGTGGGCTCAAGACTGCCTACACATCTGGTGTGGCCAGAGGGAGGGTGGAGGAGAGAGAGGTAGAGCACGAGGTTGGTGTGGAAGTTTGGAGTCATTTGGCAGTCCTGTAGGCTGTGCTGAGGAATTTTGACTTTGTTCTGCAGACAATACAGAGCCAAAGTCTGATATATCAGGGTTATGAGGTGACCAGACCTGTTATTTTTTATATGAATTTTTATAAATTGAAACATAATTGGTTATGCATGTTTATGGGATACACAGTTGACCATCAGTATTTGTGTACAACATGTGATGATCAAATCAGTATTATTAGAATGTTCATCATTACAAATTGTAATTATTCTTGTGTCCATCACCCAATTTCTCCCTAACTCCCCTCCCCCTTTCCCACCTCTGGTAATCATAGTTCTGTTCTCTCTGTCTGAAAGTTCAAGGTATTATTGTGGCCAGCCTTCCTTCCTTCCTTTGCTCC